CCTTGTGCTGCTCCCGCGGTGGCTGCAAGGTGTGAGATGCAGCCAGAATCCTCTGGTCCTCTCTTCTGGAGAGGAAAGTGAGGGCAAAAACATCTTGAGCCAAAAAAGCAAATGTCCAGCCATCCATAGTTTGGTTTTGGGTCTGTGCATGAAGGTATTTTGCTCTCCCCATCTCGCTGATGGGTTGATGGAGGCTGGGGCTGGCAGAGCGGCCGGTGGTGGTGGTGCTTCCCACGAAAGGAGCATCCTCTCTGCTGCCTGCCAGCGCCTTGCACCACTGTTTGGAGGTGATTTTTATTAAAAACGTATTAGGTGAAAGCCAGCTGCAGGATGCCGGGGCGAGCTGCGCAGCTGCCTGCGCGACCCAAAGCTGCTTGCCCGGAGCGTGCAATGGGGACACTGGCTTGCGTTTAACGGCAGAGTAAATACTGCTGATGGGAACTTGGTTTTCATAGTTAATAGAAACCATCACGTGTGTTGGTGAAGCGTGGCAGGTTTGGGCGGGTGGCAAGCTGGGGCTTGACTTATGCCCTGCCAACCCTCAGGGTATCGTCTCGCCGTGATGCTGGGAGCCTTGCGGGATGGGATGCATCGAGGTGCAGCACCTTAACCCACCTTCAAGATGCTCTTGGAGGTGACTTAGGCTTGTTGGGTGATGGGGATGAGGAGGAGCAATCCCGTTGCAGCATCCCAAGGGCTGCTCTGCGGACAGTACATCCAGAAAACTCCCCGGCTTCCCAATCCTTCCCTTGTTGGGTCCTGCCTGTTATTACTGGGGGTACCGGAGGGCTGGGGACAGCGGTGTGCTGTCGCTGGCGATGATTTCAGCCCACCAGCTCTGCTCTGGCTGCTCTGGTTTTTAAATTCAGCCCCCGAAACCTTCTCGGCCTCCGTGGTGCCTCCCCGCTCCTCTCGGTCGGGTCTGCCGCAGGGCGGGGGGCAGGAAACGGCTCGCCGCACCCTGCGCTCGGCAAACCTTCACGCCTAGCAAAGACCTGAACTCTGCATTAAAGAAAGTAAATAAATTAAAGCACCAGTCCACAGCTCCTCCCAGGGCTGTGGAACAAGCGGAGGTGAGTTGCGTTCCCGGCTCAGCCGGCTTGGGAAAGCAAATTTGGGTGACACTTGAAATGCTGGCGGGGCAGCTCGGGATGCTCGGGATGCTCCGGGAGCCGGGGAGCTGCGCGGTGCAGCCGTGCCGGTGCCTCTTCCCCGCCGTTCTTAAACACAATTAATACAGTGGAATAACATGGTTTCTTCCTAAGGATTAGGTTAAGAAAAAAAGATCATTTTAATGGTCCTTTTACATCCTACATAGATTTTCAGCTGGAAAACCTAACTGGGTTGGCAGCGCAGCCAAACCGCACATCTTTTCTTTTTCTTTTTTTCCCCTGTTTTTTCCCCCCATAACCTGATGCCAGTGCTCCTGCGTGAGCAGGCTCCTACTGATAATTCAAGTGCCCAGCTTCTGGCTGTGCTGTTTTGTCCGATTTCCATTGCCTCCTGACCTCCATCCTTCTTTATTTGCAAAGCTATACTCGCAGGCAGCGGTAATAAATCAATTAATGACTCTGATGAATCGTTTAATGGCTGACAAAATAACACTACAGTCAACAGCTTGGATCTCTACAGCAGTACCAGAAGACGCTGGTTGACTCAGGGTAGGGAGACGAAACAGAGACTGTTAGCTCAATTAGTGCAATTAGTGTGCGATTTAAAGGCTTAGACGGCATCTGCTGGTGTACGGAGCCGCTGTGTTAACTGAGAGCTTCGGTTTGGAAGCAAAATGCGGTGATCCAGATTGTCATTGCTCCACTGGCTTCCACCAAAAAAGGGGAAAAAAATCCAACATATGTGGGGAAGAAAATATATATATATATATGTGTGTGTGTGTATGTATATAGCTATATACATGTGCCTCAGGAGTGCATATATATTTATTTCCAGTGGAGCAAAATTTACCATCTAATAAAAGGCAAATGAGCTGGCATGCTGGCTGTGCCAGAGCTGTCCTTGCTCATCTCTGGCCGTGGTCTCCGGCGTGCTTCGGTGGAAGGAAATTTGGGGCGTCACATGCCAACGGGGACCTTCGAGTGGCTGGATGTGCTTTCGGTTTAGCACCAGCTCGGACGCGGTGGCACGGCGGGTTTCGTGCTCCTGCACCGTGCCGGTGCTGCCCGGCTCCTGCCGGCTGCCCTGGCATCTCCACCTTGCCTGTGCCTGGGCTGGGAAGGGTTTGAGGGTTTTTAGATATTCACCCGGTGAAAGGAGCTTGGCAGGCAACCTCCAGCTGAAATCTCTAGAGTCCCTAAAAAGAGTTTCTGAGCCAAAATGGTGAAAATAAGCCAGGTGGGAGGAGCTGGGAAGGCAAAAAAGTCCTGGTTTTCTGGAAATGGGTGCTGGAAAGCCCTTGGGGTTTGGGTCCTCACCCTTAGGGTTTGGGAAATATGTTCCCACTGTCTTGGTTCTTTTTTTTTCCCCCTTTTTCTTTCTTTTCTGGCACATCCCAAGGGTTTCGCAGAGCTGCTCCAGCCGTGGCTGCACTCGCATCGCTTCGACAGGGCTAAAGGTGCCTTGGTGTTTACCTTAGCCGCCGTGATGGGGAGGGGAATAAAAAAAGAAATAAAATGTCACTTCGCAGCCTTGTAAATCATTCATCAAGGGCTGACCAATTTGGCTCCCGTCCTACAATATGCTCAGGGCACTTGTGGGTTTTTAATTACCGAGTTCTGCCAAGCGCCACATGTGCGAGGAACTTTAAATCCTCGTTTATGCCACGAAAGCATAGGTGAGGTTTCGGGGTGTTTAACACGGAAAAATACTCTGCGGTTTTGTGGAAAAATGGGCATTTGCTTCAAGATTTTCCTTGGCTGCTTTGCCCTCCTGCCTCCGCTCCCTGTTGCAGAGGGAAGGAGGAGAGCAGCCGGCTTTCCCCCTGGATCCCAAATACATGTCCATCCTCAGTCCCCACCTCTTTGGTATCCATTTCGCTTTGGGAGATTCCCCCAGCAAAGGATTATGGTGTGCTGGAAATCTCTTGAAACCATAAAATATCACCTTGGCAGCTTTATTGCAGCGCTTGCCGCCTTGGGAGAGAAGCGTTTTGCGTGATAGAGGGTTTAATAAAGGAAATTCCAAATGGGCTCGTTGCAGTTTGGGGCTCGGTCTTATATATTTTTGCATTAAGAACCGTCATCTGCTTTGCAGAGAAACTGCAATATGTTCATGGCCTTGGATTAAGATTTGGTTTTACTTTTATAGCTGACCCACTTGGGGGGATGGAGGGAGGGGGAGAACTGGGTTCGCTCCCTCTCCCGTCTATTTTTGCTGCCGTCTGATGTATAAAAAGAGCCTGGAACGGGCAGGCTTATTTTTCCTGCCAGGACTTTTTTTTATTAACTGTAAAAACACTCAGATCTGGCCTTTGTTGTTGATATGGGGAAAGCTGCTCGGGATGCCTTGTTCAGGGGCACGGGGGGAGCATGGTGTGGGCTGTGCCTGGGGGTGCAGGACCCCGTAGCTGCAGGGGGACCCCGGTTATTTTGCAAAGGGGGTCCCTTTTTGGGGAATCAGCTTGCACTGTCGTCTCCAGCACTTGCAGCTCTGAGGTGTGGGCTGAGAAAAGCAACCAGGACGTGGTCCTGGCCTTCATCCCACACCCTGCATGCTGGCTCCTGCCGGAGAGCGTGATGGAGGGGGCACAAGGGATGGCCCCCGGGAAGGCACAAGGCAGTGGTTAGCCTGATGCTCTCCTGCTTCTGCAAGGTTTTCTGGTCCAGAATAGTGAGATTCCCAACCAAATGCGGGGGTCCCACCTTGGCAAGCCTTAGTCCTTAATAATAATCCTTAATTTTCCAGGCTTCCCCCGTCTACTCACATCTTGTGGTTGTTGCTGCATTGGATGTGGTCAGGGGCCAGGACTGGCTTGGCCGCTGTCGGGATGCGGGATTTGATGGGGTCGGGGTCCTCCAAGCTTTGGGGTAAAACCAAGCCTGAGCAGGCTCACGTCTACCCCATCTGCTCATGGGATTTCCTCAGTGGAAAATTTTTCCACCAGTTTTTTTCATGGTGGACAATTTTCCTCAGCCCTGCCGCCTGAATTTAGGTGGGTAAGTCCATCGTAAAAATTCATGGAGGGAGTAGTTCAATGATCCAAACCCAATTAATATCACTGAGGCTTCTTTGTAACTGCCCTGGGAATGGGGGTTCGTTTGGTGATGGGTAAACGAGAGTGCACTTCAACAGCACAGGTACTGCTCCGAGCCCAGCA